CAGAGGACATGGAAATGATCTCAGAGCCCGGGGAATGGCTCACTGTCCAAAGGAAATGTGTTGGGAGCAGTTCAGAAAGTGACCTCAGCAGATGAGGAGGTGACCTCAGTCTGGGGTCCTTTGCTGACTCACAGTCAGATGAATGCTGGTTTCAGGCAGGTAATATACTCACAAAGAGGAAGGGGGAGTAAGCTATTGTCCTGGACAGGCCTAACATTAAATTTCCTTTTTCACTGAAGCAAACTAGTCTTATAAAATATATTCTACGTATTAAAGCAGAATCTTCCAAAACACACACAAAAAAAAACCAAAATGGTGTCTGTACCATTTAAGAAATTAACTTAAGATTTTAAATTATCCTGCTCATATTTGTAATGACAAGATGGCTACTTGCTTATTTTTAAAATATCAATCCCCTCTCTCCAACAAGAAGGAAAAAAAAGAAAAGTTTTTGGTTTCCATTTCCTATATTCATGTTTAACTAAACATCTGGTCTTTGTCCCTTAGGTACAAAATTCTGAGTTTTCTTGAGTTTTTGGCACAAGGTACCACCACCCCCTGCCAGGCTAGTAAAATCACACATTCTTCCTGTAAGAGAAAAAAAAAATCTGTCAATAAAATGAAACATTCAAAAACATACAAGCTCAAATTAGAAAGCTAAACTGTAAGAGTAATCTTGCACAATTGCTCTAAAAAATTTACATACTGTTAGAAAGATCTAATGTGGATACTGAAGGTTCATTGAGTATACTGCTCTAAAATATGTTCTTTCGCTATGGGAACCTTGCCATTTAATCAACCTTCTGAAATAAATCATGTGAATTAATTTTTATAAATATTTTATATTTACTCTTGTATAAATTGATTCTTTAAGTTACTCCAACTAGAACTGAATTTCAACAACTTTTATTTCTCAACAGCATGGAGGAATAATCTTTGTCTCACAGTCTCAGCACTTCCAGACCCTGGTGTCGTCATCTATCATAGTAAAAAGCAGAGAGGTCAATACAATCTTGCCATCAAAATATGACGGCTCATTATAACAAGCTGCTCATAAATCTAAGGCAAAGGCACTATAATACATTGTTAAATAATTTTATTCAATTTGCATATTTTATGTAGAGCAAAGTTAGAGATTTCATGCTTTTTGCCACAAACAGCACAGAAATGAATTATGTCCTAATACTAACACCCATCTCTGAAGAGGTCCTGAAATTAGTTAACAAATGGTTGCAAAATACTTAGTAAACATAAATTGCAAAGTAAGATTCCCATAAATTCTTTTGTGTAAATCAACAATTGGATTCCAGTTTGATGACAAGGAAGAAGCACTGTAAAAGCAAGCACTGTAAAAGGGTCAGAAGCCTGGAATTAAATGGCTAGGCTAAGAATGAGAAGAAAGGTTCTATAACCAGGTTCCTCTGGATATTAAAATTACCCACCCCTTCATAGACTTCACCATGGCTTCAGGAAGTAGACTATCCACATGTGGAACGAGCTGCCCCTTTGACACAAAGATTTCATTGATGTTTTTATTTATTTTTAATTTATTTATACCCAGGGCCTCACACATGCTAGGCAAGACCTCTACCAATGGGGTATACCTCCAGCACTAATGATTTAAATAGTTCATTGCAGCCTATGGTGGGGAGGGAAAGGACCTCGTATTTTAAGTATTTTGCTAGAAGCAAATGTCCTAAATCCTAATTCAAGTCCCCTGTTTCCACACTAAGGGAAATGATTTCTCACTCCTGCCTCCTGCCTTTCAGAGCAGCTAATGGCCACAGAAAGGTAATAAGCAATCAGAGAACCCTTTTCTTTCCCAACATCTGGCTGGTGGGAGACCCCATGGCAGTGTCAGGAAGCCCTTCCTGGGGCTGTGCAGTCTCTTTTTCATACATTTCCTGGTATTTGGACACTGGTAGGGCCTATCAACATGGCATGATCCATTGAAACACATTGAACATGTCAAGCTATAGGATCAACTGTAAGAGAATAAACCTAAAGCCATTATGGACTGTAATTGTTGAAAACTAGAAACAATACAATTGCTCATTCACTATAGAATGGGATAATAGGAGTGAATAGTGAATATCACAAAGATAAGAGGATAGGTGGTAACCAAGCCTGTGGATTTACTGCATCTCAACTGCAAATCTACCCTTCGATACATGCTTTGAGAATGTGAAGTTGAGCCCAGTGACCATTTCTCCTTTGCTGCTGGTACATTTGTAGACTTTGTCACAGAAGGCCCTGGATCGGGTACTACACTAGCAGGCTTCCCCTGGTTCAGGTGTGAGTCCTTGCTTCTACCTGGCTACTAGTGGTACATGTAGGGGTTTTAGTTCTGTGGTTCAGTGGAAGAATTCGAGGAGTCTCACTCACTCAAAGATACCCCAGAAGTTTCCTGACAAACTTTTAATCCGCACCCAAGAAGGTTTCTCCTCCTTGTGACTGTGGACAAACTCTGGCCTGAGCAATCCAGCAAATCTGAAAACCTTCTATGGGAACCGAAATCCAGCCTGTTCATTCCCTACTTTGATATTCATCCTCATCCCTAGTGTATTCTTTTTTCACCCATTTTAAGTTCATCTTCTGTTATAACTATTTATAGCAATTTGAAAAATAAGTGATTATATATGGTTTCTGGGACCTGAAAATATATTGGACCCTGACTGATGCAGTACTGTTCACCGAAGTGGGAAACAGGAGGAAAGCCAGGTACCATTTTGGACACCGTGAACTTGAGATGTTCATGGGACACCCAAGAAGCACCAAGAAGAGTGTGTTTGTGGAACTTATGGTCAGAAGTGTCCAAGCTGGAGAGAGATTTAGTTACAAGTGTTGGGACTTTTGAAATCTTAGCCAATAAAGTATGTACTTGAATATTCTTTTAAATTGTGTGTGCTCATGTATCTCATCAAGAAGTCTAAAACCAATTAACCCATTTATGCATGTGTAGTAGCACATTGCAACAGAGTTTTTGTTTTATCTCATTTTACTTTATTTATTTATTCATTTATTTTCAGTACTAGAGATTGAACCTAAGGCCTCACATGCTAAACAAGAGTCTCCTCTACTGCTTGATCTATGCATGCACCACCATGCCTGGCTTCCCAAAGATATGTGTTGATTTCCTACTGTGCACATTAGGTAATATCATTTTACACTGATAAATGTTTTCAAAGCCAAATGGAAACATACTCCAAACTTGGAAGAGAGGCAAGCATTAGTCACACAGGCTACTCAGGATATTGACTGAAATCAGAAAAATCGGATAACAGATGTCAATCTGTTACCAGATGTTCCAATACCCTGAGTAGCAGCACTAAAACTGGTGAACTGCCTAAGTCCCATGCTACTTGAAAAAGATAACTAGATCAAAACAAAGCTTGAATGAGATCAAGGCTGGTGCTTTTAGCTTTTTCCAGAGTATAAACTTGGTCAACAAAACTTGCCCCTCACTTCACCCATTTCTCAAAAGTTTGGATCTACTGACCACAAAACAAAAGGAACTTCCATCAGCAGTTTGCAAAAGTACAATTTGGAAGAGAAGTATATTAAATCCTCAGGGAAATTAAACCCAAATAATCCAATAACAGCATGACAAAATTAACACTAGACTATGAATTGAATTAATTGCCTCCTACTGTGAGGATCCTTGGCTACTCTAGAATAAAACAAATGGAGCCAATGAAGCCAATTGCCTTAAGAGAAATCATAGGCCAGTGTGATGTGAAGGCATTGGGAGAGGGTTGCTTTTCAACGCTCTGGCTTATTCTAGAGATCTTCAAAATAGATAAAGGTCCTCATTTTTACCATCCCGTAATTCAAAGTCTACACAGAAAGTTAGTGAAAGCTTAGTGTTGGCCACATTCTTGATGACACAAAAGCCATTCTATGTTTAGGAGTTGCTGTGGTGTTAGAAATCCACATCAGTTCTTTTCCTCCAGGGCTAAGGGACCATTGAGACTAAAAGATAATGGCTTCTCTGGATCCCAGTCAGGGACAGATAAGGCAGGTCTTTAAGAATACCAGTCCGCTGCTCCGAAAGAGATTCAGTGTGGCATTTTAGTACGAGTATGTATGCATTTATTTCTGTAAATTCTCTTTTAATGCTATGATGTCAGGATGCCTGCGGCCAAGTGAGATTACCTAAATAATATGGGTCCTGGGACCAACAAAATTAGCATATGTGTGATTTACCTAGGCTTTGCTAGCGTGCTTAAGAACTTTAGAGAAGGAGGTAGGATGTAACATCTTAATAAAAATAAAATCTGGTGATTTCTACAAATTTTCCAAATAAGACCCATAAGGCAAAAAACAAAAGGCCAGGACAGCCTCCAACTTCTCCTGAGATAGCAGGTTTGTCAAAATGCCTACTGAATATTTGCTCTTCTGCTGATCATTCTTGTTGCAGCTGACATTTACTCTTGAAGCTTTTTAATAACCAAACAACATTTTACAAAAAAATTAATTCATGCCATTTATTGAGGTATTGCATGACTTAAAATTCTTTTACATTCTTAATTTTGTGTGACATTTTGAAAATACTATGCCTAACTCTTATGTTTGAATTTTAAAAATAATACAGCTAGCATGTATTGAATCCTTTTTTTTCTGCCCTCAAACAACTGACGCAAACACCACAAACAAAATACATCTTATTTGAACTCAAAGAAAGCATCCTGTTTGTTTGGAATCTTAATTGACTGTTGCTTCAATCCTACCTAATTAAAGGAGCTTTCATAATGAGGAAATTACTTTCAAAGTTAATGAATCTGCAACACAAACATTGCTGCCCCCCCAATGAATTACACACGTTCGTTACATGCATACTTTAGATACAACTCTAATTAATATTAGTATTTAAAACGTGTGGAAATTATTTCATTATTACAGAAAATTTGCTTTTGTTTTTGTAGACTATAAAAGCACCATGATTTCCCGTCTGTAGACACTGGGCTACACATATTAACTTAATATTGGATTTGGACAAAATGGAAATTATTTCATCAAAACGATTCATTTTACTGATTTTAGCCACTTCAAGCTTGTTAACATCCAACATCTTTTGTGCAAATGAATTAAGGATTTCCCATCATTACAGCAAAGAAAATTATGACAAATATTCCGAGGTATGTTTTTAAATCTATCTAATTTGCCATATATATGATATGAAATGTTTACCTTATATCTAATGCTTTTGTAGAGAACAAGGAATAAGTGTGCTTATTTGGTAAAACTTCAGAATGCTGTAACAGTATATTGATACAACTGTATTATTTAGAACAGCCTGCTTCTCTAATGCCAAGTTTAATGTGATATTTACCAAGCACACGGTACAATTATATATTTTCAGTTGACTCAAAAGTATTTCTAATAAGTAGTGGTGCTAATAATAAGATCTGGGCATATTTTCAGTAATCCATTTGAATAGTATTAAGCTACAAATTTTAAAATGCTTTCATATTTTCTATTTAGCCATTACAAGCTGTTAAACAGGTTACTTAAGATTTAACACAAACTTATTTCTAGATGTTGGACTTGCAATTTATTGTTTGTTTTTCTTTCTTTGGGTTTTTCTATTTTTTTCAACTGCTGAAGTTAATACATATTTCACTTAGGTTACAATTAGAAAACACTCAAAAAACTTTTTTTTGGATAAACTCAAATGGTTAAAACTAAATCTAAGCAGCCACTGTATTTTAAATGGATCCACACAATTTGTGTGTTTGCAGTACAGTAACCCATAAAGCTATTGCTTTACTAAAAAGCATAGTTTATATTCTAATTAAAATAATTGGTCTTTTGATACTTGTTTTTAAGATGCAATTCTGAGTATGAAGGTGTAAAGAAATTCAGTGAGACTTCTTACAATCACACTCTAAAATCTGGCTAGCATATGTTTCCATCTACCACTTGTCCCTTCTCTAAGGTTTTGCTAAAGTCAAAATAAAAATATACTTTTATAGTTTCTACAAAAATGTAGAAGTTATTTCATAAATAATACGCATCAAAAAACTGAGAGTAACAAGTAAGATAAACTTTTGCCTCATTTCAATACTTCATTATGTTCCTGGTGCTTGAACATATTGCTGTATTCACTATATGTATTTTATTAATATTTTATAGCTGTCTTACAATAGCCAAGGGACAGGGAAACTAGATTGCTTTAAGAAGCTTAATACAAATTATTTATTAAAAAATTCTGCACATAAGAACACAAACTTTGTTTATAGCTTTAACAATCCTGTAGATTAAAGTCTAGATTTAAGTTAATTTGGTGCTTAAATCTATGGCTTATAACAATAATAAACTACTTTAATTGTCATTTCTAACTATAGCCTAGTGGAACCCCAAATGGGAGAAAGGAAAGGAGTATCAATTTTCAAGAACTGAAAGATTGGGGACCAAAAAATGTAATTAAGACGAATACACCCGCTGCCAATAAAATGCCACATTCAGCAGCCAACTTGCCATTGAGATTTGGGAGGACCATGAAAGAAACAAGGAGCCCTGGGGAGACTGCCAGCCTGCCTCTGAGATTTGGAAGAAATATGGAGGCAAGCATCTTGAGATGTGTTCCTAACCTTCCTCAAAGGTTCGGGAGAATGACAACAGCCAAAAGTGTCACCAAGACACTGAGTGATTTGCTTCCAAGGTCCATGCGTTCAATGCCTCCCAGTGAGTTACTTTACTCTATGACCTGCCAGCACCAAAAACTTCAGAATTCTGGCCAAAAGCTACCAAGGTAAATACCTGAAAACCAGTCAAAGTGCTCAGGTAATTGCACAGAGCCGGTCCAGAAACGTATAAGAGGATGACTTCTTTTCAAAATGAGTATCTAACAAAGGCAATGACACAAACAAGTTAATGCCCATAAAGTAAGAAGTATAGAAGGCCAGGTGTAATAAATGTAACTATAGAAACATAAGGCTAACATGGTTCCCCTAAGACACAGATGGTATAAATCCCACTACTCTATAAGCCACACACTGAGTCCATGCAATGACAAGATTAGAAAATTAAACCTAGGACATATTATCTGACCACTTAACTCACTAACCTAAAGTTCCACATGAGCATTATCCTCAAGTCCAAAGAATAGCATTTCAACAACACAGAGCTCATTGTTAAAATGTTTTTCTTCCCCAACTGTCAATCAAATTGTCTTCTTTTTTCTGGATATCATTTAATGAATAACTCCTGATGTAATCATTCTTTAACAGGTAAGTATTTATTATCTACTACATATAAATTGGGGTATAAGTTACTACACAAGATTAAAGTTTTACTATTGGGGCTGGGAAGGTGGCTCAGTGGTAGAGCGCTTGCCTTGCATGCATGAGGCCCTGGGTTCAATTCCTCAACACCACATAAGCAAAAAAGAAAAGAGCTGGAAGTGGTGCTGTGGCTCAAGTGGTAGAGTGCTCGCCTTGAGCTGAAGAGCTGAGGGACAGCGCCCAGGCCCAGAGTTTAGGCCCACGACCAGACCCAAAAAATAAAATAAAATAAAGTTTTACTATCATTTTCTAGTAGAGAATATATGTTAAGAAAAACATTTTTTATATAAAGCAGAATGTAACACTTTAGTTAAAGCCTGAAGATAATAAGGTACAAGCCTGCATCACTTTATCAGAGAGAACTCAGAATGCTCGTGTTTTTCCCCCATGATTCTTATCCGCATATGACTTATTATATGTTCCAGTCTATATAATTTCCTTTCTATAAACCCCATAATTTTTGTGCACTGCCATTTTCCTATACTGCCATTTTCCTGGTGCCTACATCCATGTCTGCCATATAGCAAGCCCACAGTCGTTAATAGAATGAATGATAAAAGAGTGTCACCAAGAAGGGCCTGCAGCAGGCTTTGGGGAGCATGGGGGGAGGCTGCAGGGAGAAAAGGTCCAGAGCATTTGAAGAGCTAGAAAATCAGCTCTACTTCGAACATTCAGAGACTGGCAGAAGAGGAATGATTTCCAAGCAAAAAGGAAAAGAGTGGCAAAGACACTACAGCCAACTGAGCCATGAAGAGCTGAGGTTTCTATTCCACAAGGCTCTATTCCACAAGGAAGGGACAGAACATGAGGTAGAGAAAGAGCAGATTGCAGACACGCAGGAGCCAGACAAGGACTTGAGGCTATGAGGACAGCAATGATTGCCATTTTTGTTGAGGGCTTAGGAGTAGAACTAGGCAACTAATCAAGTGTTGAGAGTGGGGTGGTAGTGTGGGAGAAAGATGAGTTGACACTAAGTTTTGAGCCTGTTTGCTTATCAAAAATTTAACTTCCGTGAATTGTAGCATTCATTTCAGGTGAAGAAGAATTAGGCAATTAGGACTGTAGAACTTCCTTTTAGATGCTTTTGAATCCTTGTTGCTTCTATGATCAGAACACTCTGAACTGCTTACATTTCAGGAGACTGATATTCAAGGAAATAGAGGATGCAAAAGGGAAAGAAGAGAAATAAGAAGTGTGGATCCATTCCTAAAGATGCTATGAAGCTGTGAGCTGTAATCTACAAATAGTTTTATGGTGAAGACAGCAGGAAGAGGGGCCACGCTTTTTGAATGGGTTATGTCACTGAGGGCAATTCATCCTGATCAGTGTAGCTTATCTTAAAAGTCTTAAATAATTTAAATAATATTTATAATGTAAAGTTGAAATCATTGTCTAAATAAAAATTATTGTAAAGTAGATGAATGGAGGGGTAAGGGGAGAGAAGGCACTCAAGAATTCATTGTATATATCACAAAATTAGCAAAGATAAGGGAAGTGGTAAGTCTAAGGGGGATGAAAATGTTGAAGAATGACACAGATCAAGATGTATTATATACATAAACTGCTTTGTTAAATGGCAAAAAAATTCAATACATATCCTAAAAAATTAATGAAAATGAGAGAAGGGGTGAGCTGGGAAGAGTGGGTAGGAAGGTTGAAAGGGGTGACACCAATCAAGGCCCACTATATTTATAAACTGCTTTGTTGAATGGCAACTCCTTTGTACAACTACTTAAAGATAATAAAAATATTCAAAAAAGAAGATTGTAAGTAACTAAGAAACATCTGAGAGAAACGGGGCTACATTTGATTTTTTTTAATTAAATAGAAGAGTAATCTCACAAATATTACAATGAAAATTAACAGGATAAACCTGATTGACAAGTTGAATAACAAATTGAATAACAAATCGCTCATGAACATCTGCTGTTTTCATTTCACTGTTATTTGAAATGTAAAACTTATATTTCTCCATATACTTTATAAAACAAAGGAAACTTAGATTTCAGAGATATAGAGGGCAAAATGCAACTACTAGTTAATTCTTTTAGTATCCCTTGCATCTAAATCCAGAAATTCACCTCTGTGTTGCTCTTTGTTCCTCATTTAACACTGCAATTTTTTGACTAACAACAAGAAAAAAAATCTGTCCATTTTTCCACTAACAATTTACAAATTCAATAAACCACAACACAAATGCATAATGACTCAACTTGAGTCCTAAGAATATGAAGTCTTTAATCAGATGTAACTAGGTTATTGAACAGCCTCAATTCCATAGGGGACACACAGGAAATAGTTTTCTTTTCTCCCATGGTACCCCTGCTGGGTTGTGCAAATCTCCCACTCCTGCTGGGTAGAGATCCCTTAATGATACCCTGGACAGCTTCTGTAACTTCCTTGGTCATCTCTTGATATTAAAAAACTTTGTCAAGTGAAGTTGAAGACACCAACCCATAAGCAAGACCAATTGTCTTCTCCTCCATCACTAGCTGAGCCAGGGGGGCAGAAGAGGGGCACCTTCTGCTCTCTCTGCCTCTCCTTCCTCCCCTCTTTAGAAAGATGAGAAATGGTAGGCCTGTGGAGAACAGTCTCCCCTCCTATCTTCTCCCAAGTGTTGATGTAGGCAAAGCAGGAAAGGAGATATAAAGTCAAAGAGAAGCTGTTACTTTCTTTTGATATAAAGATGGTACAAGACTGACAGGGGCCTTTGCATTGCCCGGTTATTGGCCTGAGGGACCTAGATTTTAGTTAGTTGATCTCTTTTTATTCATCTTATCTGTTCTTTCCTTATCCCCTTCTACTCCCTCCTCCCCCACTCCACCATGGGTACTGGGGCTTGAACTCAAAACCTCTCCTTCTTGCTTGGTTTTTTCACTCAAAGCTGGTGCTCTACACTTCAAACCACAGCTCAAGTAAAAAGTCTCATGGACTTTTCTGCCCTGGCTGGCTTTGAACTGCAATCCTCAGATCTCATCCCCCTAGGATTATAGGCATCAGCTACTGGTGTCCAGCCCCCAATATCCTCTTATTTCCAGAAAGAAAGGCTCAAGGTAGCCACCTTCCCAGTGGTGTATAGAAAATGCAGACAACCTGGCCCTGACAAGGGCACAAGAGAAGGCTCCCCTCCAGCTGCCATCCCCTCTTTCCCCCAGTCTCTTGTTTAGAGAGGTGGGTGAATCAGTAAATCTACTGCCTAAGCAAACAGCCCATCAGAAATACCCTCGTGGCCCTATTCTGTATAAAAGAGTATCTTAGTCAATTTTCTGTTGCTATAAAAATATCTGAACCAGGCACCAGTGGCTCATGCCTGTAATCCTAGTTACTCAGCTCTAAGGATTGTGATTCAAAGCCACACCAGGCAAGAAAATCTATGAGACTCTTATCTCCAATTAATCACAGAAAAAGCCAAAAGTGGCATTGTGGCTAAGTGGTAGTATGCTAGCCTTGAGCAAAAAGAGCTCAGGGACAGTGCCCAGGCCCAGAGCTCAAACCCCAGGACCAACACTAAAAACAAAGAACAAAAAAACCTGAACCAGGCACTGGTGGTTCATACCTGTAATCCTAGCTACTGGGGAGGCTGAGATCTAAGGATCATAGTTCAAAGCCAGCCCAGGCAGGAAAGACCTTGAGACTTATCTCCAATTAACCACCAGAAAACCAGAAGTGGAACTATGGCTCAAAAAGTGGTAGAGTACTAGCCTTGAGCAAAAAGCTCAAGGACAGCACCCAGGCCCTGAGTTCAAGACCCTTGACCACCACCACCACCAACAACAACAACAACAACAAAAAAAACCCTGAGACTGGATATTTTGAAAAGAAGTTCATTCAGCTAACCATTTTGAGATTCAAAAGCTCAGCTTTTGCCTCATGGCAGAAGGCATCATCGAGCCACCAGGCTCGTTTTTGACAACTAATTCTGACCAGAATGCATCTAGGCCTATGATACCTGCATGCTTTCCAAAGGCTATGACCTTGTGTCCTGTTCACCTCCCATAATGCCCTACCTCTTTAAAGATTCCTCTACCTCAACACGGCAACACCAGGACCAAGATTCCACATATGAACCTTTAGGGGACAGCTTAAACTATATCCAAATCACAGAGCTTCTTCCAGAGGCAGAGGCAACTGCAGCAGGCTCCCTCCATATCACATAGCACTGACCCAGGCTCCGCCACCTCCTGGCAAACCGTTAAGAGTGTCTGGCTCCCAATATCCATGATTTTATTTATAAATCCGGTAATTTAGTGCTCTATACCTCTAGATCTGGTCCCTACCAGCTAATTCTTAACGATAGAGAAGTTTCATGCAATTGCTGTCACTGGAGGCCCCCTCCCCCTCTGCTGGCCTTTGTTGCTCAGCCCCAAATCACTGCATGGCCTATAACCCACGCATGGCAGTGGTTTGATGTTATGCTTTAACAGTGGTTTGGCAGTGGTTCTCTCCAAGCATTCACATGGTGAAGACGTGTCCTCAGTATAAGGGTATGGAGATATGAAACCTTTAAGAAGAGGTGCTTAAGCCAGGTGTTGGTGCCTCCTACCTGTTATCCAAGCTACTCAGTAGGCTGAAATCTGAGGATGATGTTTCAAAGCCAGCCCAGGCAAGAAAGTCCATTAAATTCTTATCTCCAAATCAGCAACAAAAAGTTGGGATTGGAGCTGTGGCTCAAATGACTGAGTACCAGCCTTGATCACAAAAGCTCAGGGACAATGCCCAAACCTTGAATTCTAGCCCCAGGACTGGCACAAAAAAAAAAAGTAAAATAAAATAGGGAAGAGATGTGCACAAATCTTTCCCTGGTCCTGGTTGGAAACACAGCCAAATGTCATTAACTGCTCTCAAACCTTCAGCCTTCCTTAAAAAGCACACCAGCTCTAATTAGCTTGATTTAGCCATTCTGTTGTATACAAAAATCATAAAGTCACTTTGTACTCCATAAATATATGATGCAACATAATGTGATGTATACTCAATGATGTCAAAAAACAAAATGGACAACACAAAAAAATCATCTAAAATTCATTGTAACCAACATCTCAACCCATAGCCAGTCATTATTCTCCACTTTTCCCAGGCTGAGGGCCTGTTTAGAGACAGGAATATTGTTAAAGTATGTTTTCCTCTAGCCTCACCTCCTTCCTCTTTGAAACCTTTTCAAACCCACTAGCTTTTTACAGTAGCCTAACATGGAAAATTGAAGGGAATTCAGAATGAAAGGCAATGGGATAGTAGGACTATTTGCACCAAGATGGATGGATTTACTCTCAGGACCCAAGGGATGGCTTCCACCTTTTGTTGGAGACTCTCCCTGCTCATGTCTGTCTCCCACAAGACAAACTAAGCTAGCTTGAATCATAGCCCTTGGCCCTGGCCCGTTTCTCTTCTGAGGTCCTTTTGCATAGGGTTGGCAACAGCTGTAGCAAATATCCCTCCCCCACAACCCACATCTGGTCCTGTACAACTAGCTTTCCACACACTTGTCTCTATGGCTGATTCCAGTCTCCTCAGCTGTTTTGAGCTTTTGTTTCTTTCCACTACATGGAATGGCTTTCATCAAAGGAAAGCCCCTTCCTTGAAAAAGGGTAAAATACAAGCATAATTCCTACACCTGGGTATTGGTAGGGAGGATTCACAGCAAGATGACAACTCTCCAACAAAACTCTTCCCAAACCCAAGTAGGTAAGGGAGTTGAAGTTGGTAATTGAACCAGTTTCCCAATCACTTCCTTCAAAAAGTCAGTTGGTAACTGAATTTCCCTTCTATAATGTTCGGAGGTTTTGATTCAGACTTTTGGCATCCTTTGTAACAATGTGGGTCTCTCTTATGAGAGACCCAAGGAGTTTTTCTTTTTTTAATTGCATTAAGAATATGGCAATAGAAGACAATTCCAGAATTATTAGAAATAGTTGATAACTAATGCAACTTACAAATGAATACTGTTATCAGGTTGGCCATTAAATGCTGAGATGATTCTGAAACAATCACAATTAAGGGATTTGGTTTGAACTTCCTCAAAACACTAACCTCTTACAGTGGCATAAAATAGCAGCACGATGGAGAGGTATTCTCCTTGATGTGCTTGTCAAGACACAGCTTACAAATAGTCTGTTCTCCCCTCTCTTTCCTCTCTAATCTAACACTGTCCTTCACTAAGAAGATCCCTTGGAATGGTCCTACCTGAAATCC